AATGCAACGAAGCGCTTTAGTCTTTAGCATATGAGAAATTTTTATGTAAATTCTTAGGTTCCGAGATTCTTTTTTTTTTGAAATGTCTTAACATGCTGCTTGTATATTTAGATACTTGCACAACAAACTGCTAAATATTTTCTATCACATTTCGTTCTATTATTGATTATTCCATAAAAGTCAAAAGTTAATGAGTGGCAGCAGTTGGCCATTAATTGACTTTTTCCTCATTACATTTACGATCCTCCTGCTATTGATCGATACTTACCTGAACAGCTGCTCACCTGACTGGTCTTCCACCTTTGACTTTGCTGCAACTATGTTTTACTTCCTGCTAATTCCGATATTCCTCAGTGCCTCTGACGCCATCACTATTAACAGCTTGAAATTTACAATTTATCCTAATAAAGTTAATCTCGGAAAAGCTTTGCCGGTCGTTATTTATGAATTACACAGCGGCTCTAAGCAGTTCTACTACAAAGTAGACAGCGTCGCACTTCGACATCATAACCATCTTCAAGGATTCGCTCTTTTCCACAATGTTAGCGATGCAGTTGCTCTTGTAAAGCTAATTCATCAAAATCTAGACCAGAGTGAGTTTTTCACAGCCTCAGTATGCAAATCAAGATCAACAGTGTTTAGTGTTTTAGATACATTCGCTGTTACAATGAATAAAGGACAATCCAGCCAAATGAAGATATCCACAAATGAGTTGCGAATCAATATGGATACGTCATCGGTTCCTTTGAGATACCGTAAGTTCCATATTCGCTAGTGTTTGCAGAATTTTTTAAAAACTCACAAATTCTAGTATATATACTTGACTTGACTTTTCAGTTAACTTCATCGGTGGTGACGAGAATTCTTGCACATGCGTAAAGGGAAACTGTGCTTGTTGCACCTACATAAGAATTCCTGACTTCCACCATGAGTGTGAGTTTTTCTTTTATGGACAAAAATCAATTACACATTTTTTAGTGTTTGTTTCTTTAAATGCTTTCGTAACTTATTCCTATACATTTGCCTTGCATGTACTACTCTTTTCAGTAACAAGTTTATCCTCAATATCATTGGGCTTACAGTTGAAAAAACCACTAATAGATTGATTTTTGACGACTTAGTTTTTTTTTGTTTCTCAGTAAAACGTCACTCGGAACTCCAAATTCACTTTTAGAAATTTAAAAATCTCCACTTTTCCGAATGAAAACCTGAATATGTGAACTACAATTAAATGAGATCTACGCCCCAAC